TATCTGTGTTCATGTGTGCTGTGTCCAGGTATCAGGAGGAGTACAGTATGGACTCAACCAATGCCCAGTAAGTCCTGTCATCATCATGCTCGCATGGCATGGATTGTGTCTGCAGTGGTAACTGTACACAGAACTGACTGGAACATTTCTTCAATCACCAAAGCATATACATAACACAGTTCACTTTGGATTTGCATGTAGACAATTCTTTGATTGTGTTTGGAGGTTATATTACCATTATCAAAATGGACAATAATCGCTGTGGTACTGATGCAGAATGTGAGGAGTTATGCCTTCATTTGTGGCTACCTTTTCAGCAGTTTTAGTGGCTAGCACTCAAAGAAAGTGTGTAGCCCATCACATATTTCTGTCTGATTCAGTCATACCACAGTAAATGGTGAAAAGGCTATCTGTATGTCTGTTTTTGTTTGTTTGTACTCCAGGGGGGTATTACACAAAACCAAGATAAGAAATTAAGCCTTGATTTTTACAGTTATCCCAGCTGAATTTAGCCCTGACTCAGCTGCATGAAAGCAGGTTAAATTGAACCTAGTCAAGTTACCATGGAGATTCATTCTATGCAGCTAAACTGGGATTTTCCAGTTGTCCAAGCTGAATTTCAGTTGCATGAAAGCAGGTTAAACTAAGTTCCTATGGAGATTTAGTCTTTGTGGCTAGCCTGCTTCATCCTTATTTGTTCTGAAACCAGTGAATTCTTTTACAGTTAATCTGTAAAATGTGATAGTCATTGTTACTGATTATGTTCATGAAGATTGTTGTTCAAATTATTGTTAGAAGTTTGATGAATTTTATTGCAGCTGCTGAGGTGAATAGAGACAGACGACAAAGCTGCAAAGGTGTCTCCACTGAAGTCAGTATATATATAGTGCTACTGTCTGTTTTTCTTCCTTTACAATGGCCTGCCCATTCTTAAACTGCTGTATGTCATATATATGTATAAAATCCTGTCAGAGAGAGCTTCTGCGTGGCTACTTGAACCATATTAGCCAGAGGATTTTTGTTTTACAGAGTAAGGTTCCTATACCATGAGATTATACAAAAGGCTAAATTCAACTGGATAAAAGACAAACTCATCAGTGTTTTGTCCTCATTAAAAGTCTACAGAGTAAAGTAAAGTGTCTGCAGACCCTTTTTGTAGATGTGTTAAGTTCAAATCTTTGCCAGTTGTTGTTGTTCCCAGGTGTTTAACTCTGAACCAAGTGGTAGGTTTTCATGAAGTGGATAGCCACATCTCTAGTTTTGTTAACATTTCACTTCAAGACGTGGTTGTCACAGCGCTTTGACAAGCCTTCGCAGTTGCCACAACCCATGTCTGGCCTGAAAGCCCATTCATTTTTGCATTGTAACGAGGCTATGGGACATGTACTTTCACCAAGAGAATTTTAGATGCAGCTCCCTGAAACAGAAGCAGAGAATGACAAAAATGCAACAGCTTTTGAACATTCATGTCTGTGTGTAATATTTTTAGAATCCTGCAGCCTTTATATCAGGCACATTTCTGTGGTTGGTGCATGGGAAATTCTCTATTTTCAACTGTTTGCTTAGTCAGAGAGGAAACAGAGCAAACCTGGGGTCAGAAATGAAACTATTCAGGCTGTGATGGGAAGAGCTGTTATCAGACTGTTTACCAGACGTGATGCTGCATTACTGGTCTGTGCGCCGACTCTGGGGCCCTAAGCTTAGATCATATTGTAAACCGTGATACAGCTTGGAATGTAACTAAAACCACCAGATAATTTCTGCATTTGTTGCTATGCCAACGCGTATGGTAATTTAATCAAATTTATTGATTTTGGAGATGCCACATGTATACTGTATAATGCACTCTACAAGACTGGATTGTACAGAAAATGGTGTTGGCTTTGATCAGAGTCTGCAGTAGCACATTGTGCAGAAGCATCCGTGCACCACATCAGGACTGTGACGTAACTTCCTCCTACAGATCTGTTTAACTCCATGTGAGGTTCCACTAGGCTAATTGATACAGCTGTTTACCTTTGCTTGCCCTTACTCTCTGATAAATATTACATGTGGTACATAGTATCTGGTGGATGTTGGACAGTGTTTTATCTTCCACTACAGTGAATTGAGGCATTTGAACAGCTCTGATCTGCTAGGCAGATTATCCCGAGGTCACCAAGCTGTTTGATGTTTATTTACAGTCTACAAAGCAGATGTAGGCGCTAGGTGTTTCAGGCAAGGTTGCATAATTTGGTAATTCTACCACTGGCGATGGTCATGGTGCACTGTTTTTGTATTTGTGTGTATGCTGCTTAAATGCTGAAACCTTATTCACAAGTCCTTCCCACCAGAATCTGTTTCTCAAGGTGCACTTACTGTCACATATTACGAATGGCTGTTTTACAGTATATGGAAAAGGCTCTACAAACCATGTCGCCTTTTTTGAGTTGAGACCAAATACTCCTTGCTCAGACCTAAAAATGAGAACAGACTGCAAAGTACCATTAAAGCCTGTAGGAAGATTGCAGGTATTGAACAGACTGACCCCTGTGAACTGTATAGGACTAAGACCTTGAGGAAAGCACAATCAGTTCAGGCTGATTCCAGCCACCCCTTGGTTAATGAGTTTCTGATGCTGCTATCTGGTTGTAGATACAGGGTACCAACATACAGAACAAAAAGACTTACAGACTCTTTGGTCTGAACCACTAATGGCTTTTTAAATACTTAAAGCTATACCAGCGGTTCTAGCTCTGTACTAGTGGTTTGTTTTTTGTTATTTATTTGTGTTTATTGTGATCATGGTGTGATTTCTGCTGGCTGCACAACAATTTGCCCCTTGGGGATATTAAGGCTGTCTGAATCTGAACTGATAATGATAAAGTGAAAGCATGTTGATAGAAATGAAATTTCTTTTTACAGAAGCATAGCTTTTTGATGCTCCAAATTCTGGTCACATGCATCCTGTTTGCGTCAATTAACTTCTAGACCTATCTCAAAGATAAGTGATATCCATCTGTGGCAAATGGAATAGTTTGGACGTAGTTTAGAAAGGAACACACCTATACATACTGTCACACTACATGTTAGGATAACAAGCCATACATATAAGCCATGAAGTCCAAGGAACTCACTGTGGATCTCCATGATAAAATTGAGGCAGAAATCAGAAATCAGGGCAAGGGTTTAATACAATGTCTTTGAGGCTTGAGTGCTCCCAGAGCTTGAGGGGCTCTTCCAGGAAGAATGGGTTAAACTGCTCAAATCCAGGTGTTTGTAGAGATTTACCAAGATGACTTGAAGCTGGAACTGCTGCCCAAGGATTTCTGCAGTACTGAATTAGGGACCTCAGTACATCCATTATGTAATGAATGTAGATTGATAGGAAAAGATGGATGTCAAGTGTGAAAAAGGGGATCAGAATAATTTGTGAAGTTCCTGTGGGATTATTATGTCTTTACTGCTCTTGGGTGATAGAGCAGTTGGTACACTTGGTTTATATAGTTTTCAAGTAGCAGTGGTTTGGGTAGGATGGCGTCATGGGGATGGGAGTGTGTGGCGTGTCCTACAGTTGAGAATGTGTCTTTGTATGTGTGTGTGACTTCACCTTATTCCTTGTACTAGAAATGCATAACACTCAGACATATGATTGAACATTTTTTGCCCTGAAAGCAGTCTCCATGGTGATAGAGGCTGAGGGGCGTAGCTGAGGAACGGTGCATATCTCGTTCATTCTACCACCTACACTCCGTGTCTACACATTTGTACGTCCCTGAGGGGCTGACTGCTGTAATTGCCCTCTTGCTCTCTCCTCCCTTGTCTTTTGCACCGTATTCTTCTTGTCAGACAAAGTAGAAGGCTCTAAGGGGCTCTTCTTTAACTGTGAGGTCATCATTACTTACCCTTAATGCTCATTAGTGACACTAAGCTCTCTACTCTACATTACATAAACTGTCAGTAGGCCTGTCTCACAACCTATGTTCATCTAACCTACTCACAGCAGCTTCATCATTATACACGCTTAAGTGAACTTTTGGCCATTATGTCCTCTCCTCCTGTAAAGGGTCATGTTCTAAATTATGTAAAGAAATAATCTAGATCCAAATGATTCAGACTGGCTTACAAAGTGTAAATAATATTTTCCAAAATTCATGTCTGGACTCATGTCTCATTAGAGCTATATCTGCATTATTGAAGTATCAGTGCTGTGCATTTTAATTCATTCTTGAATATATTTGTGGCTAATATATTATGAAGGCTAATGATACACAATGACTTATGAAAATGGAGGCTAATGGAATCAGTCAGAAGAGAGATTTGCACAGCTTTTCTTAAATAACATTTTGTGTACACACTGAAATGTGTACTCAGCATGGAGTATCAAAGTGTATTACAGAATTTAAGACTTTTTATTATTCTTTGATGAGATATTTTCTGGTCTAAATTATAACTTATTTAGGCAAAGTACTTGTTTTGCTGAATGTGTTAATATTGCAATAAACAGAAGTACTGGGAACACATGCTGCATTGTTGAGAAAAGGTTTATGGGTTTTAGTCCTCAAACTAAGGAGTTAAATGTACTGATACTCAGATATTGCATTGGTGTTGAAATTTCAAATTATATTTATTCTGAATGCAGAGATGAAAGTGGCTGTACCTGGACCAGAGCCATTGTCACATGTGTTTCACATTAAGTGTATGTGGTGCTGAATTCAACAAATGTATATAATTTTGAATACACTTATTTGTTTTACACTGGACTATATAGTACCATTATATGCTTATAGTTTTTGTTCAAGTGTAATTCACTGTGTCTCTGGGTGACTTTTGATGTGAGTATACAATATATGTGTTGGCAGAGGGCTCAGTGCTTCTGTATGCTCATCTGTATATGTTTACACTGACATTTTGCTTTGTTTCCAACAGGGTACAGGTGGAGTTCTATGTGAACGAAAACACCTTTAAGGAGAGGCTGAAGCTTTTCTTCATCAAAAACCAAAGGTCAAGTAAGTACCTGATAGGGAACCTATCATCATTCTCCTCTCTTCCCATAATGCAAATGGTAAGACTTTTGCTGCAACTAGATACAGTATGCTCAGAGCTAGTTGAACAAATTATGGAGGAAATTGTCGCCAGTGATAATGCACATCCAATTTCTGTCTCAGATGGGGTTTTTATTATTACATTAGTGGTGTAATTATAAATTCCGGTATTTTTGGGTGTGCACGCTGTGGCCCAGCATGGCCAAAGGAGCTCATTTGTTCAGAGATGATGTGGGGCTGCAGTGTTTTTCTCATTAGAAGATGAGCCTGGCAGCTCAGTGATTTGGTGCATTGTGTCAGGAAGCCATTTGTTTGTAAACGTTTACACCAGAGAAACTCTTTTTCTTTGGTAGAACATGTCATCAACATATCTTTGACACTGACATGGCTCTGCTGTCTCTCCCTCAGCTTGTCATTGCCACTAAAAACTACCGAAAGTTTCACACTTGACTACAGGGGTTTGTTGTTCCGCTGCAGCTCTGTTTGTGTTTGTCTGGTTTTTAACATTGACAGTAACTTCATCTGAAGAGATCCGGTCACAAGAGATTAGCAGCTTCAGGTTGATCGGAGATGGCTAATATATTGTAGCTAGCACCACCTTCTGGCTGCTCTTCATATCTGCAGCCAAGTATTTATCTGCATTCCCTTAAGTCCCCCTGCATATCCCTTAAGTATTTATCTGCATATTTGGTGGTGCAAATCATATGTATACCTGCACTTACTCAAACAGGAGACTGATTTACAAACATTTTAACCCCTCAGCTATTCCTGTGCAATCCCACCAGTAACTTGTCATGCTGTGTAGACCTTTGTCATGTTATAAGTCCATAAATGTGCTAGTGTTGGTGCTATTGTTGGAGGATTTGAAAGCGATGTATCAGGGGTGATCACTTGTGACCAGGTGCCAGTGCAGTATGCCTCAGGGCTTCGGCAGATATAGTCACTTCAGGCCTTTCTCTAAATGTATTTCATGCACCTAGAACTACAGCGACACCAGTTGTATATCAACATGTGAGAAAATTAACAGAGAAGGTGTACAGCTTAGAAGTTAAGGCTGTGAACAAATGTCAGATGTTGCTGTTTTTGTTGCCTCATAGGCCTGAGAATCCGTTTGTTCAACTTCTCATTGAAGATTCTCACCTGTGCCCTCTACATACTGAGAGTCAGCTTGGATAACCCCAAGGGGATCAATGGTAACTCATGGTGAGAGTCACAGTCAATAATATCCTCCCACTCATCAGTTATTCCCTCTGTCAGATGTGTTCATATTTTCTGGATATTATTTTAAGATTTCTTGTTTGCTTTTTATGTTTTGTCAATATCTTTGACACTAAGTAAAGTTATGTGACATCTTTTGCTTCAGAAAAAAAGTTGCTGTCCAGAAGCTGATTTTGTAGATGCAGATCTGTTCTCTATCTGCTCATCACTTTTAAAGGATAGGTCTGGGATTTTTCAAGTTGATCTTACAACAATATTGGCATGCATATACAGTATATGCATAAGAATATGTCTTAGTCATTGTAACTTTTCCTACTCTCCACACTGACTCTTAATGTTTTCACCTAGAACACAACTATGCTGTAAAAAAAAAAAAAAAAAAAAAAAAAAAACTTGTTCAAAGTTTGTCTGAGGCTCAAATGAAGCTCCACTTGTCCCACTAAGTTAATTCATGTCAGCATCTTCTAAAGCTACAGTCTATTTAGTAGTTCCTTGTCAAGCTGAGATGGAGAGATGCATTCTACTCTATTAACAGCCTGTAGGTCCTGTTACCGGAACCGGCTTTTTACTCATGTAATTGCATAATCAATATTTCAGTCCCTCATAGTTATTGTCTCTACTTGGCAAGGCAGTTGTATTTGTATAGCACACTTCATACACAGAGGCAGCTCAGACTGCTTTAAATAGGCAAAGGGAAAAAAATCCATTAAAACCATAAAGAAGATCAAACAAACATAAAACATTGTTAAAATAAAATAAAATACCTAATGAAGATCAGTTATGTTATTATAGTCCAAAAGTTGTTAAATAACTGTGGTATTTACCAATCACTTCATGTGCTGTTGGCTCTGTTGGTGATGGCACAGCTGTGCATTGCATTTTCTCTCGCAGCACCACTTCTTCTGTTTAAATGGGCATATTTATGGCCAGTTTTGACTGTCTGGATAAACACAGGAACTGTGTTCTACTTTGCACAAAGCGCGGATGAGGCAGGAATAGACAGGAGAAAAAGCTGGAGCAACTCTGAAATGTCACACACGAATAAAATACAGACACAGATTCAGAGCAGGTTCTACTAGTGTTCTAAAACCACTAATAGCAAAAATACTCCAGCTATACTCAAATCTGCAAAGTACAGACTTGCTTCCCAGTTTCAGTAACTATGAGTACAACTTGGGAAGTAAACACCAGCCAACAACTACAGTAACAAACTTATAGTACATGCTGCTACTAAAACATATCCCACTGCCAGGGCTCAGCAAGGAACTACTATTCACGGAACCAAAAGAGAAATTTGTCGTAAATGGTCTGTAACTTTGAAGGATACCAATTCAGATTAGCTCAGTGGGACAGCTGGAGCTGGAGGGCAGTCGTCTTTTTTATAGCATAGTTGTGTTTCAAGTGAAAGCAGTTGGTGTGGAGAGTAGGAAAAATTATGACTAAGACCTATTTTTACAGACTGTATGGGTACATTTAATATGGTTTTAAGATCAACCTGAAGAATCTGAAACCTATCCTTTCATGCTGTTTATCTGTTCCGGCTTCTAATTCCACACCAATCAGTTGACTTGACATGTATCAGAAAATAGTTTCCCATTGGCCTGTGCATAGATATCAAGAGGTTATATATAAAAATGTTTTGGTGTTTTACTTTAGGCACTTTGAATGTGTCTGCGGGGTTCTTCTAATCGAGAATTACTCCTAAACAAAAAGCCTAAATTTGCTGTAGCATTTGACAAGCACCAAGAGATGACAGTGTAATTTTGATGACAAAACATGAACATTGTCCGGGAAAGAAGTTGTTTTGAAGTGATTACAGTTTAATTAATTTTGTGTCTAAAACACAAACAATAAACTCCTCCTATGCAGTGATGTTGAAGCTGTAGATTGTATTGTGCTGACTGCGAGCAGCTTTTAGACAAACACTGGGTTTGTTCTTTATGGCAACATACTGTACCAGCTAATGGAAATGTTTCTCAGTGGGCATTTTTCCACTCGCACACAAACATTCACAATCTGTCGGTTTTCCCTTGTTGCTGTATTGTTTTGCAGTCGGAACACCAACTGGACGAATACAACAGAGTCTCCAGAAATCAACTGGTACGCTTCAAAGTAACATTTAACTGGGACCTGTGGTGTGTTCATTTCCTCTGTTGAAAATACATGGAGTGTAAGGAAAATTCTCTTATGGGTTTTAACAGGGATTTGATTCTCTGGGTGAATAGACTGGTTCCTGTATGGGCAATACAGGTGAGAATAATAATAACTGAAAGTGCATATAAATCAAATTCCACTGCACAAACTGAATGTCAATGCAGAATTCAGCACTGGCATCCATTTACTACAAATCATAGTAGTTCCTCAGTGAAGGCTGAGAAGCCAGAAGAGATGAGTTTACAGTTACTAGGTTCATTTACCTCCCTATCCTCCTCTGGTCCAGGTGACAGTGGCCTTAATCAGTTTCTTGGAGACCATGCTTATCACATATCTCAGCTACAAGGTAAGAAACCAGTCCTCAGTGCACACTTTCTTTTTTCTGTCTCATGCACATGTTTTGCAGCTGTCTGATCAAAGTCCAGCACTGCCTGTTTATTCTCTTTCGTGGTCTGACAGCTTTCAGTGTCCAGTCCATGTGCCGGTATTAAAGACACAGGACCAAAAGTATTTTGCCACTAATTCTGGACTCTGACACGACACGTTCTATTGCACAAACAAGTTATGCAAATAGAAAGAGATGAAAGTGCAGTTTGTGTTTCATCTTCATAAATTATCTCAAGGTGCACCCCTGTCCTTAGTCATAAGTATTCAGACCCTTTGCTCAGTATTCAGTAGAAGCACCCTTTTGAGCTAATACAGCCATGAGTCTTTTTGGGAATGATGCAACAAGTTTTTCACACCTGCATTTGGGGATCCTCTGCCATTCCTCCTTGCAGATCCTCTCCAGTTCTGTCAGGTTGGATGGTAAACGTTGGTGGACAGCCATTTTCAGGTCTCTCCAGAGATGCTAAATTGGGTTTAAGTCAGGCCTCTGGCTGGGCCATTCAAGAACAGTCACAGAGTTGTTGTAAAGCCACTCCTTCATTATTTTAGCTGTGTGCTTAGGGTCATTGTCTTGTTGGAAGGTGAACCTTCGGCCCAGTCTGAGGTCCTGAGCACTCTGGAGAAGGTTTTCGTCCAGGATATCCCTGTACTTGGCCGCATTCACCCTTCCCTCCATTGCAACCAGTCGTCCTGTCCCTGCAGCTGAAAAACACCCCCATAGCATGAGGCTGCCACCACCGTGCTTCACTGTTGGGACTGTATTGGACAGGTGATGAGCAGTGCCTGGTTTTCTCCACACATACCACTTAGAATTAAGGCCAAAAAGTTCTATCTTGGTCTCATCAGACCAGAGAATCGTATTTCTCACCATCTTGGAGTCCTTCAGGTGTTTTTTAGCAAACTCCAGGCGGCTGGACGGCCAGCTCTAGGAAAGGGTCTGGTCGTCTTAAACGTCTTCCATTTAAGGATTATGGAGGCGACTGTGCTCTTAGGAGCTTTAAGTGCAGCAGAAATTTTTTTGTAACCTTGGCCAGATCTGGGCCTTGCCACAATTCTGTCTCTGAGCTCTTCAGGCAGTTCCTTTGACCTCATGATTCTCATTTGCTCTGACATGCACTGTGAGCTGTAGGGTCTTATATAGACAGGTGTGTGGCTTTCCTAATCACGTCCAATCAGTATAATCAAACACAGCTGGACTCAAATGAAGGTGTAGAACCATCTCAGGGATGATCAGAAGAAATGGACAGCACCTAAGTTAAATATATGAGTGTCACGGCAAAGGGTCTGAATACTTATGACCATGTGATATTTCAGTTTTTCTTTTTTAATAAATCTGCAAAAATGTCAACAATTCTGTGTTTTTCTGTCAATATGGGGTGCTGTGTGTACATTAATGAGGAAAAAAATGAACTTAAATGATTTTAGCATATGGCTGCAATATAACAAAGAGTGAAAAATTTAAGGGGGTCTGAATACTTTTCATACCCACTGTATTTCCTTTCTCTTGCTATAACCTACAGAACTGTAGTTATCTTGCCTGTTATGGGGACCGCAGCTGCTTTACTGCAGTATTCAGTGTTACTGGAATTACTTCTCTTTAAAACAATCTGACTTCTCACTGGTTCACTCAATTTCCTTTGTAGGGGAACGTTTGGGAGCAGATCTTCCAGGTGTCCTTCATTTTGGAGATGATCAACACAGTGCCATTTATAATCACAGTGAGTAATTAACTTAATTGATTTATCAGTCAACCTGAAAAATATACAGTATATTTAATATAAGCACTTTCATTTCATTTTGGTATTGGATTGCTAAGCAGTCGCATAATCTAATGTTAATGCCCTCAGTACTACCCACTTCATCTCAGACTAAACATTTTGTCAGCCAAATCTCCTAAGAAAGGCACCTAAGAGCTTATTCATTTTATTTATTCTCTGTAGTGATTATGTTGTCTTAGGTTTAAGTGTGAGTATTTCACCCTTCCTCTCCTCCTCCTTTCTTTCCTTTCCTCTTCAAGATTTTCTGGCCTCCATTGAGAAACATATTTGTCCCTGTATTTCTTAACTGCTGGTTAGCAAAAGGTGCCCTGGAGAACATGATTGTAAGTATGTTTAATAATGTACTCTACAAACTGTATTTGTATTCCAAAAAAGAGGTGAGATATAACTGCGTGTTTTTAGCACTGAAGTACAAGGCAGACTCAATTCATAAGTAAGACTGGCCAAAAGATTTGACTGCGTTTACCCAGTTCAGCTAAACAGAATTGAGTTCAGTAGCCCAGTTTCCTTATTTCTCATTGGCTGACACTACATTTTGGCAAACACATCTAATATGTAGCTAGTGTATCCCAGAGTGGATTAAGAAGGAGAGTGATAATATCTCCGTCAATGTTATAAGGACCTAATGGCAGATCATAGGAACGTTGAATAGTTCCAAATATTAGGAGCAGTGCCACAGAGTTACATTGATTTGGCTGCTATCTTCGAAGTACTTGTGACATTTTAAGTGATGTGTTAAGTTTTACAACCTTTTTGACTCTCTCTCAAGCTACTTAGCTAAATTAGCTGAGCTATCTACAACAACACAACACAGAATTAGTCTGCAAGGCTGTACAAGTCATTAAAAATGGTAATTGCTGGTAAATCCCACTGTTCCCTACAGAAAACAGTGGATCTTAATTGACTGAAACTATTTGAATCTACATGAGTCATGTGACCTGCTGCCATTTTTGACCCCTCAGTGTCACAGCTCTTCTATCTTAATGGCTTTGGTGTATCCTTTAGAAGCTAGTTTGTGTAATATTGTTAGCATTAATGCTGGTTATGTTGATAAATTAGTCTGCTGGATAATTAGTTGCCAACAAACAATTTGTTCAGATTATTAAATGAGCTGCTTCTTGTTTGGATGAAAAATGACAGAGGTGAAAAGAATACTTTTTTTCAGTCACCTAAAAAATGAATCCAGTGGACCCATACTACAGCAATCTTTTTCAGATATACTGTATACGTGATACTTATCTTGATGGTTACATAGAGAACTAGACATGACTCAGGCTTATTTAGTGGATCTTCATCATACCACCAGCTGCAGTTGCAGGGAGTTGTAGTACAACTGTATAGCTTGCAAAAATAAACAGTAATACACTGGAGATGTGTACTGTAAATGAAAATATAAAGTGCATTTACTGGGGAACCCTAGCACATAAAAAAAGAAGTATCAAGGTAAGCCAAAGCAAAAAGGTGCAACTGCAGGCAAAACAAAATGGGAGAAACCCTGCAATGCAACATGAAAAGGATATTTTAAAAAATCAATAATGTCCAGGAATTATGTGTACAAAGTATATAGTATATGCATTTCAAACTAATTAGATGATATCCAACTGGTGTAGAGTGTGCTCTCATAGTGATTCTGTTAAGACCATGTCTCATGCCAAGGCGGTAGTTGGACAGATGGTAGAATGTGGGGCCAAACAGACCAGCACATGGAGGAAAAGCAGTGACAGTTTGAAGAGGTGGCGATAGAGCCGGTGGCAGGCAGAGCATGCTAACAAGGTGCAACTGAAAATGAGTCACGAGCTGTTGCATTTCAAGATGGGCAGTGTGCTAATCATGGAAGAGAAAGCACAGTTGCGATGGAGTGCTAAAATGTTCTAGTAAAGAGAAGAAAACTGTGGAATTTTTTTTAAGATTGTGTTTTTAAAAAAATGCATGTCAGAAATCAGCAAATGTGTAGCTTTTTAGTGCTGTTGTATTCAGACATACTTGTCGTCTTCATTAATATATATACTCACTGGCCTCTTTATTAGGTACACCTGTACAATTGTATGCAAATAAATGCAGCATTTCCACCCTAATATCTGTGTTTATGAAGCTCACTGTTTCAGTTTTTGGTAAAATGGTCATAAATGTATAAATTCCATTATATGTTTATTATTGGGATCATAGTTAAAGGTGGTGAACTGCATTATATGCAGAGCACTTCCTAATATTCTGATTATCTCATGTCACTCATGTAAGTAGTTGGGGAGGACAAAAGCATAGAGGCAACACTGAATATGATATAACCCAGTACAGCACCACCTTTAACTATGACCTCAGAAATATACATATAATTTACTTTATACATTTATGACAGTTTCACCAAAATCTGAAAGAAAATCAGTAAATATGAAGCTAGTAACTGTTTTAGCATTGTTTCACATGTTAGTGATGTAGTTTTTGATAACTTGTGAATATTGGAAATCCAGAATAGAAGAAGTATTTCAGTACCCACTTGCCTACATGATGTAACTTTCTTGATCGGTTCAGAATTTCCACCGTGCCATCCAGAGGACGCACTCTGCCATGTTCAACCAGGTGTTCATCCTCATCTGCACATTACTGTGTCTGGTTTTCACTGGGTGAGTGAACAGAAATAGAGCTCTGACCCTAGCGGCTTCCAGGCCTTTTACTGACCCTCAAAGCAGAATTTGTTCCTGAACCTTTTACTATATGACCCCGAAAATATAGTTTCTAGCAGGGAGTTAAATGGTTGGATAAGATTCTTCCTGTTGTAAAAGTAGATATCAGAAATGCAGTAATCTAAATGTTTGTTAGCTGACATACAGTCAGACTGTCACAGTGGTGGAGTACATAGTGCATGGTTTTTGTTTTTATGGCAAGGTAAAATAAGACTAAAAGATGGTTTTAAAACATCTAGTGAATTAACTTGTATAATGTAGCCTGTTTTATAGTAGTTACTGATGCTGCCAAAAGCAAACGGTAGATATGAAACTTTATGAAAAATGTAAACAAATGCAAATACCTTGGCTTTCCTCATCTTGAAGTTGAGCTTGTTGGGTATCAGGCCGTAAGTGAAAGACTAACAAGTAGAAAACAACAGGAAAAGGTGTTAAATTGAAAAACACACAATACCATTATTATTTACCCACCCTTCTTCATTTCTTATATCTCACTGATTTCAACATTTATAACACCAGTTTATTATGATCAAAGCTGCTACCTAGTTTTGGTAGCCTTCTTTAGTCTTGACCACCACCCAGCACCTGCCTCCTCCACTCTGTCTAACATCCTTGTCCCCCCGCCTCAGGGTTTCATTAATTCTTCAGTTATTCAGTGAAAAAACACAAATGAATTAGCCCAAGCAGTGAGGTGGAACTGACAGAGCAATCAGTGGTGTCACTTTAAATTACTGAGAAAGAACCTAAGCTGTATTGACTTTGGTGCCCTTTGATCTTGGGCCAATTGAATTTCGTTATCCAGTGCAAAAGGCTAAATCATAATACTGAACCGTGTATAAGATATTAAATATCAAATCATATGCTTTCCTGTCTTTACATGCAGGAGGCATGTCAAATGTCATTCTGTAATTCCTTGTTTTTCTGCAGAGCTTGTGGGATCCAGCACCTAGAGAGAGCTGGGAAGAACCTGTCCTTGTTTGACTCGTTCTATTTCTGCATCGTCACCTTCTCCACCGTTGGCTATGGGGATGTTACACCACAGATTTGGCCCTCTAAGCTGCTAGTGGTCATTCTCATCTGTGTTGCCCTGGTAGTTCTCCCAATGCAGGTACTGTCATCACTATATGCTAACCTAGTGTTTTTCCCACCAAAGTACAATCATGACCCTACTTGTAGTAGGTTATCATTATTCCTCCACGTTCTGCATCTAGTGATGACCTTCAGAGGGTTATCATCAAAAATTGAGTGATATGAAATATTCAATTTTACTGCAGCTGTAAATAAAAATCTAATAAAGTACTTGTCTGACATTTCGGCCTGCTGAAGAATTCTGCAAATCTCATTCAAAATTCAGGGAAAGTCATGCTGGCTCCCAGGGTTTATTTATTTTTAATATTAAATCAAATATTCCAAAGTGTTTGCTGTCGTGCACAGCAAATTGGGTGAGATATAGAAATGAACTCTGCTGCCCACAAACTGACTGTCAGCAGTTTTCACTCCAGCACTTTCACCATCTGTGTCCAGGCAGAATATTTCTGTCAATATTTACTTCAGTGTTGTTTCTTATGATGTCATATTGATGTTGTTGCCGTTGTGTCAGTTTGAAGAACTTGCGTACCTGTGGATGGAGAGCCAGAAGTTAGGGGGAAACTACAGCCGTCACCGAGCGCAGACAGAGAAGCATGTGGTGCTGTGTGTCAGCTCACTGAAGATAGACCTGCTGATGGATTTCCTCAACGAGTTTTACGCTCATCCCAGACTACAGGTATGGTGGAAAGATATGAGAGACTTTTGGATGCTGGATTATCCGAACTATAAAACTTTAGGTTTACGGTATGTGAAGCTATAACTGTATTTAGGACACCCATCTTTCTATTGCTTTTGTTTACCATCAGCACAGGAATGGTTGTGTGATGACATGCATGACATATGATTATGTTTACTTTGATTGTTTCTATAAGATAAATAAATGCATGATAAATACACGAATATGACTGTGTCATACTTGCTTACTAAAAAGTAAAATTTTAGCTAATTATATACAGTACATACAACTTAAAACAGTACAGACTTTACTGGCATGCATTATGTACAGCTAAATAAAGTCAGTATGTACACCAATCAGTCATAATATTATGACCACTGACAGATGAAGTAAATAACACTGATTATCTGTTTACAATGGCACCTGTCAGTGTGTGGGGTATATTAGGCATCAAGTGAACATTCAGTCCTCAAAGTTGGTGTGTTGAAGGCAGGAAAAACAGGCAAGTTAAGGATGTGAGTGACTTTGACAAGGGCCAAACTGTAATGGTGAGATGACTGGGTCAGAGCATCTCCCACACTGCAGGTTGTGTTGGCTGTGTCTGCAGCCGTTAGTGGATATAAAAAAAATTTCTTTTCAAGATTTGGGGCTCGTGAAAAATCTTTACTCTTTTTCTGCAAATTCAAGGATTTTTTTAAATAGTTCTAACTTGTCCTCACAACCACAGTTTTCAATCTTTTTAACATATATTTATCACTATAAGACAAATTTGTGCTCTTTCAGACAATATAACTATGGAAGCAAACAAATTTCCATTAGATGCACTGTGTGCCACATTGACTCGTATTTCTTCTCACTGGCTTGAAGCCAAAGTGTAACTGAGTGTTGCTTATTCAGTCATGAATATTTAATGTTAAACAGATCATTTAAAGATTTTTCAAAAACATTTAATGAAATGCAGTGATGTCTCTTTGTCTTGCAGGACTATTACGTCGTGATCCTGTGTCCGACAGACATAGACATTCAGGTTCGCCGCATCCTACAGATCCCTCTCTGGTCCCAGAGGGTCATTTACCTGCAAGGGTCTGCCCTCAAAGACCAGGACCTGATGAGGGCCAAGTCAGTGAACACATTCTGACATTAAGGCCAATGCATACACACAGAAACAAACTAACAGCATCCACACACAGTAGCGTCCAAGTTGTGAACCAGACGGTTCATCCTAGTTTCCAAGCTCTGGTTGTCAGCAGTGTGAGCTTCTTTCTATCAGTGATGGACATAAAACCAGGTTCAGTGTTAATGTCAGAATTTTTTTGGTCAGTCACTGATCATGCATGCCGCCGTCTTCTTGAAAAGGTTGTTTTAGTCTAACACTTGATCTTCTAAATCTCTGCTAAATGACTTAAAAGGTTGATCTAAAGTATCAGTGCTCTGCTGGCAGTGTAGATCCACTGAAGTGCTTGCATATCAGTATGATGGGATTTCACTCTGCATTGATCGTTGGCTCACATCAAAGGCCACATACAGTGGGTATGGAAAGTATTCAGACCCCCTTAAATTTTTCACTCTTTGTTATATTGCAGCCATATGCTAAAATCATTTAAGTTCATTTTTTTCCTCATTAATGTACACACAGCACCCCATATTGACAGAAAAACACAGAATTTTTGACATTTTTGCAGATGTATTAAAAAAGAAAAACTAATACAGGCTAATACAGCCATGAGTCTTTTTGGGAATGATGCAACAAGTTTTTCACACCTGCATTTGGGGATCCTCTGCCATTCCTCCTTGCAGATCCTCTCCAGTTCTGTCAGGCTGGATGGTAAACGTTGGTGGACAGCCATTTTCAGGTCTCTCCAGAGATGCTCAATTGGGTTTAAGTCAGGGCTCTGGCTGGGCCATTCAAGAACAGTTCTGGAGAGACCTGAAAATGGCTGTCCACCAACGTTGACCATCCAACCTGACAGAACTGGAGGGGATCTGCAAGGAGGAATGGCAGAGGATCCCCAAATGCAGGTGTGAAAAACTTGTTGCATCATTCCCAAAAAGACTCATGGCTGTATTAGCTCAAAAGGGTGCTTCTACTAAATACTGAGCAAAGGGTCTGAATACTTATGACCATGTGATATTTCAGTTTTTCTTTTTTAATAAATCTGCAAAAATGTCAAACATTCTGTGTTTTTCTGTCAATATGGGGTGCTGTGTGTACATTAATGAGGAAAAAAATGAACTTAAATGATTTTAGCATATGGCTGCAATATAACAAAGAGTGAAAAATTTGAGGGGGTCTGAATACTTTCCGTACCCACTGTATATGAGCAACAGTAAAAACTGATAGATGGCATTGGAATATGCTTGACCTATCAATCGTTGCTTTGTGGTTGCACAGTATTGTAGCACCAGTGTGGCACGTATGGTTTCACGGTTGCTTCAGGGGATCTCGCTGCTCACTGGCAGATGTTATTTAACTTTATGATGCATGGGATCTAACTACTTCTCATTAGCACATGATAGTGTGAAATCCAAGTCATAAATCTGTCCAGGGGCCCCTTCCCTTCTTCAGTGTGTCCAGTTATGCAGAGGATTGCTGTCTCAATTTTACACACTGATAGCATGGATAAAATCATCTAGCCAGGAAAACCTCATGGAGACATCAGCTGAAAGATGATGTTGGAATTATTTCTTATTATATTTTTTTTCAAGTTCACAGAATGCGAGTCTTCTGTCTCAAATGATTACTGCCCCTCTTGTGCAGCAAGTGCCATGATCAGCCTCAACCAGCGGCAGATTATTTTCATGCTAGAATGAGGATGTTACACTTTTCAGCCACTGTCACAGGACATTAACACTCATTCTTACCTAGCTTTTATTTAAAACATTGTGGGGTTGAATGTCATCTTTACAGTCACAGCCCTTGCCATGACCCTGCCTGTCTGTTTTTCTTTTTTCTATCGGCCTTTCTGTGGATCCTCAGGATGGACGATGCTGAGGCCTGCTTTATCCTCAGCAACCGCTTTGAAGTGGATCGCATAGCCGCTGTACGTTTCTCACAGTCAAACCAGTCGTAAGCTATGCTTTGTTTCCAGTATAAACCCACGCACAGTTTCCCTTAACACTCTACTTGCTTCTTGAAATTTGCCAAGAGATTGGAGCTATTCAAATGCTGTTGGGATTCGCAGTTAAATATTGAGCACACACTGAGTCTCAGGGGATAGCTTCATAGTCCAGAAAATTCATATTGCATTTTTAAATGAGTCACTGGAAATATGAGTAATATAGAACAATCGGTTGGTCCTACAGGATCACCAGACTATTTTGAGAGCATGGGCTGCGAAGGACTTCGCTCCAAACTGCCCTCTCTATGTCCAGATTCTCAAACCAGAAAATAAATTTCATGTGAAGTTTGCTGGTAAGTACAGGAAGCCTGCATGCAAACAAACATACTTCTAAATCTATTTCTATATATAACCTTTTATTGAAATTTATCCATTTCAATCAGATCATGTAGTATGTGAAGAGGAGTTCAAGTATGCCATGTTGGCGCTCAACTGTGTGTGTCCTGCCACGTCCACTTTAGTCACTCTCTTGGTCCACACCTCCAGAGGACAGTGAGTGAACCCCACTATCTTACACTTAAATGGTATACACTGTCCATTATTAGTATGTTCCCAGTGTTTATACTATGCTAAGCTAACATTTGCCTTCCTCTAGCTTCATATTGAATAGGGAGACTTGAGAGTGGTATCAATCCTGCCACAAAGACAGAAAGCATATTTCCTAAAAATATTCCTGTAAGGTTTTTTTTAAGGTGCAGTTATCTGACAAGTGTAACTGGAAAAGAAACTCAACAAACAACACTATGCATAGCAATGAAATACTTTTTTATGTATTCATATATTAAATAACTGTCATTAATTAGATGAATGTAAGCTCCTGCAGCCTTTTTGAGATGTCAACTGAGCTACAGCGTGTGGTGACCCTAGAGAACTTAGTTTGGCTGTATGTAGTAGGAGTGCTCAAGTTTAACTGTTTGTTTTTTTTGGATTTCAGTCTGACATATCTTATCAAAAACTGATGTTGTACTTTAGCTCTGTCTCCAGAGCAGCTCAATGTCTATGAAATGGTTTTACAGACTGTAGCTGGTTTCTGTATGCAGAGTTGACTAGTGTACTGTCACCACTGCAGAAACCTGTCACTGTCCAAATCAAATCAAATCTTATTTGTATAGCGCCAAATCACAACAAAAGTCATCTCAGGACACTTTACAAAGTAAGGTCTAGACCTTACTGTTATCAATATTATTACATAGGGAAAACCCAACAAATCCCCCTTGAGCAAGCACTTGGCGACAGTGGGGAGGAAAAACTCCCTTT